GAACCTGCACTCTCCCTCGCCCGACACCCCCCACCCATCTCACAACTCTCTGCTCAAGCTCCTACCCCAGCGCAATCACTGATATCGCAACGAGCAATATGTCTGCCTATCCTCGTCCCCCTCCTCCCCTATCACATCCCCTGCCTCACTGTGACCTCCCTTCTCCCCAACTGCCTAGCAAATACGTTACTAACACTCCCGCTCTCTCGAGGTCCATCCACTCGCCACCGCAATAAGTACTTCTCCGACCCATATCCACCAGTCAAATTCATCAACCCCTCCCACACCCCCCCCCTTCCAACCTCCGACCACGTTCCACCAACGAGAGCCGGTCGATCTCCCGCGTCCGACAAACCACTGCGATCTAGCCCCTTTTTCCCTCATCCAGGGGCCCACGTACCCAAGCGCGTTCTTCACCCAAACTCCAACCTCCAAATCCTCCCCCGCCGCCCCCCCTGCCACCACCCTACACAAACCTAACCCGATTCCTGCACGGGGCATACCCACATATGCCCATGCATGCAGCCCAACTTTCCAGGTAGACCAGCTGTGAGCAGCTGCAGCCACACTGAACTCCCCACGAACACACGCCCCAGAACAAGGGCTAATTGGAAGCAGAAGATAGGAAATTCACACACGGCATCATAGTCTGACAGGGCAAGAGAAAAAGGGGAAAAAAAAAGGACTCAGCCATGAAACACAGGACCCCCCACCCGACAGCCCCCGACCACACCCTCCACCCCCCGTACCAACCCCCTCCCCTTGAAAAACAACCCCCTCCACCTGGACGATGACCCATCCTGCCAACGATCCCCTGAAAATTCGAAAGAAAAGAAGCTGAAACAGAGCATGATGGTGGAAGTGGAGCCTTCAACTCTGTACATTTTGATTGATCAGCCAAGAATTGCACCTCGGGGTCAGGCGCCACCGATAACATGTTCACGCTTGTGAAGCATGAATGTTGTTGTAACATGGTTCCGTAGCAGAGGGATTTTGCCCGAAACCTGTCCAAATTTCTCCTGAACTTTTGAGTCTTCTGCTGTTTGCCGTGGCAGGATTTGAACCTACGACCTGTAGGTCGACCTTTCCAGACCGGTAGATCTAGGTTTCTTCAACACTCTCAGAGAAGCAGAAGCAGCAAACTTTTCACTTGGCAGGTTGGCTCGAGTTCTGACACAGTAGCGTTACTTTTAACGCTGATAGCAGTGAGAGGTGAGTGCAGTCATAGCCAGGCAGTTCTGGCTGGCTGCCACATCATTTTCAACTCCATTTGATGCTGAGCTATGAAGACAGTTGGGCGCCCCTGTGAACATAGAATGCCTCTGATATATGAAGTACTCAGGTGTGTATATATTCAGTTTAGATTTTCAACAGCTGGGCGCCCCTGTGGACATAAGAATGCCTCCGTTATATGAAGTACTCAGGCGTGTATGTTCAGTTTAGATTTTCACCAAAATTCCCAATCATGTGTGATTGCTTCTATCCACTCATTTGTGAGCATGCAAAGTGTGTTGGAGTCGCATGCAGTCTTGCTGGATCACCACAACAGTCCCAGTGGGGCCTGACACCAGCCAATAAGATAAACGACTTACCGTCACCCTTTTGATGTGATTGGCCAATATCTTAAGGAAGCGCAGGGTGAGAGTATCGCCAATGGGATTATAAGACTCAGGATTCAAAACACCATTCAACAAAAGAAGGTGCAACGAACGGGAGCAGGATTTCCTTTTCCATTTCCACAACCTGGCACATCATTCAAATGATCAAGTGCAAAACATTAAGTCAAGATATCGTCTCAAGTGAGTTCCCACGACTTCCCAGGAATTGAGGCCATACTTTGAAAAGAATCGCACGGTGTCGAGAAAGACCTGTGCGTAGCCATCCAATGGGTACCATGACATCCTCGCAGTAGCTCTCAATCTGATGCATGCCTTCATTCCATGAAGCAACCAGCTCCTGATCCGAAGAGGCAGGGCCGCCCATTTGTTCAGAGACGCTGGATGCAATCAATGTCATCAGCTCAACAGCATCATGCACCTCTCCACGATGCGTCATGGATTTCCGAAGGGCAACTGCAGTCAATATCTCCTCCTCCAAGTTGGCCAGGCGTCTGTCCTTTTGGGAATCCACCAAAACAACCTCAGTGGCCTCCAGCAGGTCCATTTGCCAGAGCGCACGCAGAAACCGTACGCTGGGGGCCAGTCCCTGTCGTGTATACCGTGTCCAAGAAAATGGGAATCTGATGATACCATAAAATCCATTGTAAATCTCATCATCATATCCCAGCGATTCTGTAACCTGTGGACCATGTCAGCAAAGAAAAAACTATGTGAGAGATTGACTGCGACTATCTGAATGGTACACACATGTAAGTGTCAGAAAACAGCTCATGAGTTCAAACTGTTGATCGAAACATATGAATACAATAATGTCCGGTATTACCTCCTAAACTTTGTTCTCTACGCTTGTCTTTTCTTCGGGGTTGGGGTCCAAGGGTGATACATGTCCAGTTGGGCAATGTATGTACAGCCAAGGATCCGCAAGGTGATGAAAAGGACTGAATGGACAATGCAGTGTTAGTGGAATCTCAACAAGCAGTGTACATCCTGATACATACAAAATGGCACTTTGTAGCGCAGTGGAAGACTTGGATATAAGTCCTGACCTGACCGGGACTGACACAACCTCCCATCATACTTCACACATGTGAAAGGAGGAGGAGATACCAAACTGTTGCATACCGTAATGGTGCAAACCAGAACAAGGACCGACCTCCCTCACACAGTACAAGGTAGCGCAGCAGAATGCTAGGATACCAATCACCACCCATTCAATGTTGCAATGCAGACTAAACATACACCATCATCATTACAAGGTGTAAAGGGGCCTGGCGCTCACACAGGAAGAATGTGCCAGCCCCCAAACATCCACAGACGAAGAGGAGGGGGGATTAGACGAAGATGAGGGAGAAGATGGGAAGATCGTCAGACAAGTGTCCCTGGTGTCGATCCCAAATAGTCCCTCGTCAATATCTCAATCCCAAAGTCAAGTCTGTATCAACATCCCCAAAGTCACCAACCTCTCTCTCGCTCGTAGTCTGCGGATGCCGAGAAGCCAGGTAGCGAGAGGGTGAGGAAGAGATGGTGGACTGAGAGGAGGAAGAAGAAGATCTCTCTCTCTCTCTCTCTCTCTCTCTCTCTCTCTCTCTCTCTCTCTCTCTCTCTCTCTCTCTCTCTCTCTCTCTCTCTCTCTCTCTCTCTCTCTGTGTCATGTGCCAGGTACTAACCTCTGAAGATGGCGCCACGCTGCAGGTACCTCGAAGACAAAGCTGGAGCTATGGCGCTGCAGGTAAGTCTCCCTGGCCTCCACCAAATCTCTCTCTGTCTCCAGTGCTACTCTAACTCCTACTAGCGCCCAGCGCTGAAGACTACTGCTAACACTACTACTACTACTGCAGCGCTCCTCCAATGCTGCTGCCGAATCCTGAAGACTACCTCCTGCCTCCTGAACTGCACCTGAAGTGCCTGGGAAGTCCCCTCTGAACTACCTGCAGCCTGCAGGGCGGGCCAGTCATATATAGTGCTGGCCCGTCCAGGAGGCTTCTCTTGCCAATGCCAAAGCGTGCCAGACCCTGGCGTTGAAGTTCAAACAAAGGTTGTCTTGAAAACAGGCCCAAAATGGCATGTGCTAAAACCCTGGTCTGGTGCCCAAGTTTCAGGGCAGGTCGATCTTATGAGGGCCTGAAAATGGCCCTTGTTTGCAGGCGAAGCATGTAACACCCCCCCCTCCTTATGAAGTCAAGCCGGGTCGAGGGCCAAGCTGACGATCTGAAGGTGGAACCTGGACGCGGGTGCGGTGTGGAGCCGAGGATACCGGCTTGCCTTCCATCTTGCGTTCGTAGCGTGCAAGAACATCTGGAGTTGTTGCTTGGAGTTCCGCACGGGTCAACCAACGGTCAGCTTTGTGGGTGCAGTACGCAAAGTGTACCAAGCATTCGGTCAGCCTGTTGCCGTAGCGTCACTTGGAGATGACGTCGCCGACCTCTTGAAAACCGTCCGTAGAGGGTGGGTCTTGCGATCGTCGCCCGGGAAAGTCGTCATGTTCCGCTGGCGTGTAAAGAGCCAACTTGGAGCAATGAAAGACCACGTGGACGGGCAAGTGGCCGGGCAACTGAATGATGAAGGAAGGTCCTTCGGGTGCATCCCCAGCGGATGCCACAATCAGCCAGGGCCCCATCCATTTCGACAGGAGCTTGCGAGAGATATCTTGTTCGAGGCTGAACTCCGCGGCGGAAACCCAAACGAGATTGCCGGCGCGGAATGGAGAAGGGAGACGTTGGCGATTGGCCTGTTGGCTCATGCGTTGCTGCGTCTTAGCCATCTGGTTGCGTGCCTTGACAAGTAGCTCTTGCACCCGACGCAAGAAAAGAAGATGGTCGTCGCTCTCGGCCGCTCGTGGAATGATGGTGTCCAACGGATAAGCGACCGGCAAGTCGTGCTGGAACTCGAAGGGCGACATCCCGATAGCCAGGTGGATGGACGAGTTGTATGCCAACTCGACATCCGGCAGCCGCTCAACCCAATCCTTTTGGTCGGGACGGATGAGAGTGCGAAGGAGAACCTGTTCGGTCTGATGCGCCCTCTCCGTTTGGCCATCGGTTTGGGGGTGGCGAGCCGAACTTGGCTTGAGAGATGAGCCCCATCATTTGATGAGCGCCAACCAAAAATCGGACTTGAACCGAGTGTCGCAGTCGCAAACGAGAAACATGGCGAACTTGGTGAGTCAATCGACGACCGTGAGAATCCCATCCACACCGGTCTTGTGCTTGGGGAACGGCCCGGTAATGTCCATGGCAATCGCTTCCCTCCGGCGCAAGGGGACTGGTAATGGTCGCTTGCTGTTAAAAACTAGGGCTTAATCCTAGACAGGCAGCAAAAACTACTAAGTTGGAGTCCAGTAGAGGCAGAGGGAATTTCCGCTGGAGCGGTGAAATGCATAGATATCGGAAAGAACGCCCAAGGCGAAAGCACTTTGCTAGGCCGATACATTGCGGGATTTGCAGCGTCGGCAAACCTCGTATGACTCGCAATAGCGTGCGATGTCGCCAAGAAGCCCGGGACCAAAAGCGCTCGCGAAGTCGGCAAATTGTTCGATTGACTCCAAAGTGTCCGATGGCGGGAGCATCGTGGAACCCGCCAAGGAGCCGTGTACGCAAGTGAGAGTCACTCGGTATGCAAAGAAAGTCCCTCCCCCGTGTGTGGACAAGCAAGTACCCCTCTTGGATCTGGTAGTGAGAAGGTGTCGGATTAGGAGAGGAGCAATTCGCGTACTTGTCGCGAAACTCGGGGTCGGCTTGGTAGCCGCGGATGAAGCTGTCCCGCAGGTCATCGTCAATCTCGAAGATCGAATAGACTGTGGTACAATGATCCAGACGCCGTGAAAGAGCATCCGCAAAACGGTTAGACTTCCCCGGAATGTGATCGGGAAAGAAGTCTAACTGGTCGATGAAAGTCATCCAACGGGCGATGGTGCTATTGACGGTGTCTTGGGTCTTGTAGAAGACCAACGGATTGTTGCTCGTTACCCATCAAAATTGACTTCGACCAAGAAGGAAGTGCCGCCACCGCTTGAGCGCATGGACGAAGGCTAGGAGCTCCTTCTTGCGTGCATCATCAATGGAGTGCACGACGGGCACTTTCTTGTTTAAGTACTCGACCTGGTGCCAGTCCACGCCATCGTGTTGTTCGAAGACGCATCCGTAGTGTCGCGGGTTGGCAATAGCAAGTCGTAGGTTCGCAAGACCTCCGTGAACATTAATGCGGCTTTGAGAGCCAAGAATGATTCCCGCGCATCCACCCCAAAGTCGAACGGTCGATCCTCACATTGAAGCTTGGTCAAGTAGGCCGCGATCTTTGAGTATCCCTTGATAAAACGTTGGTAGTACCCGGCAAGGCCAAGGAACGACCGGACATCCGTGACGTTCCGTGGCTCTGGCCACTCTTGGATGGCTTGAATCTTGTCCGACAACGGACTGATGCCCTCCGGTGTGACATGTGACAAAATGGCCCAAGTATTCCAGCTCTTGCCGGATAAATTCGCATTTGTCGCGGTTGGCTTTGTACTTGGTGCAGCGGAGCGTCTCCAACACTCGTCAAAGATGCTCAAGATGATCCTCCAATATCCGGCTATAGACAAGAATGTCTTCTAAGTAGACCAGCACGAACCGGTCCAACATTGCACAAAACTCGTTGGCCATTGCCGCTTGAAAGGTCGTCGGGGCATTGGTGAGGCCAAAAGGCATGACCACCCACTCAAAATGCCAATACCACTTCTTGAAAGCGGATTTATAGCGATCATTCGGCCGGATCGAAATCTAAAGATATCCCGACTTCAAATCCAACCTAGAAAAGTACTTCGCGCCACCCAAACACTCAAGGAGATCGTCAATACGAGGAAGAGGCCCCGCATTCTTGACGGTTTGCGTGTTGAGCTTGCGGTAGTCGATGCAAAATCGTACATCCTTGTTCTTCTTCCGTACGAAGAGAGCTGGAACTCCATATGGGGACCTACTAGGGCGGATCCAGCCCTTGTCCAACAAGTCATCAAGTTGTGCGCGGAGGACCGTAAGCTCCTACTCGCTCATGCGGTAAATGCAGCCTTTCGGCAGCACGGCACCGGCCTCAAGAATGATCTCGTGAGAGATCCGCCGAACCGGCACCACACCGATAGGTGACTCGAAGATGTCGGTGAATTTGTCAAGCAACCTCACCACACGGGGGTCCGAAGACAAGTCCATGGGGGAAGAATCGGCTACCACGACGGTCCGTAGGAAGCGTAGGCCTATCTCGTCGGGCTGCTCGTAAGCACGAGTAGCCCGGAACGACTTGGCCGTCACCACTTGGCACCGAATCGAAGGGTGCGGAAGAGGAATAGTACACGACACTTCGGGGCTGAAGGCGTTCCCAACGGTAAGAGTCCGCCGGTGGAAGTTGACCGTGTGATCCGCACTTGCAAGCCAAGGCATTCCCAAAATAATGTCGAATTTTGTGTCCAAAATGTCGAACGTCACCGGTTCGCATGCATGAGGTGTGAAATACACCGGTACCACCTCGATGTAGCAGTCGATAAGATGCTGCGTCCTTCCGTCCGCGAACTTGATCGCCGTCGGGTTTGCCTTCCTCCGAACTTGTGCGCCAAGGCCAGCCCTTTGCATAAAGGCTTGGCTCATGAAATTGCGAGATGTGTCGCTATCCAACAAAGTGCTGCAGGACGCTTGCCCAACTTGGATGCAGACATAG